TTTTTTTTTTTTTTTTTATGTCGAGGATTTTCCATTTACCAATAACACTTATTCAAATTTCAGTTGGGTCGTTTTTAGACGACAACCCATTATTCAATTTTATTTTGTTTTTTATTTTTTGACTAACTTTTTGGTTTTTTTATTCAAGGATTGACGCAGTATAATGCATGCAATCTATGAAATGCGAGGTATGTTGTATTGGACCTTTTTCATGTTTTCAGTAGCTTAAAATGATATTTTTGCAGATGACTAAAGAAAATTGGATGTTCCTTGTGGCGGCAGGTACTGTTATGCAGCCGTTTGCAGCCAAAACCATCCAAATAGAGGAAATAGACATCATCGAGTAAGTTCGACTTGTTCTATTGCAAATACAAGAGAGATTTAAAATATCCCTCATAATAAGAAAGAAAATAGAGTTTCCAAAACACCAAACCCTTCCATGGTGTCACGAATGTGCTTTAGAGGTTTTGTAAAGTTAACATACAAATCTCATGAGAAATTCTGTAGTTTCGAAAAATATTAGTCGTTTTAGCAATTAGATTGAACCTTAAGGTTGTTTTCACAAATCCCAGATTTAAACTAGAAAATGGAAAGCGTATGTCTATCTTGCTGCGCATCCAAAGCAGCTTCATAAAGTCATCGTTGCATAAGTAATTGTTCCTGCACAAAAATAAAAAGATGAACTAGAACAAGAGCATTAGTCTTTCAGCCCAATGCATAAGAAAAGCTAGCAGACCAATTCAACACCTGCCAACTCATCTGTTGTAAACTTGTATGCAGGTCGCCTTTCACAAGAGGCAAACCTTCAAACTGATCATACGGTAAACTCACGATGCCCGACACTGGCATATCATTCATGAGCCTAGTGAAAGTGCGAGTTTACCATATGATCAGATTTCCTCAGCTCAAAATGCCCTTGCTTTTGACTCCCACACTGAGAAGGTTAAAAGAGAAAAGCGGTTGTCGAGTGCGAGACCCTCAAGGGGACGCTCGACGAGACTAACTCTGTCGTCATGAAGCTGTTCGAGCTCAATAGGAGGCTGATGAAGAGCATCGACGATAAATCTATTTTTAAGAAAAGTCAACGTCGTTGATCTTGGAGAATGAGGGGAGCTTGAGGAATAGAAGGGTGTCCGAGCAGGCCCGAAGGCTGTCCGAGAATATTGGGATGCTGCAATTGGAAGGGCTGCAATTTGTCTTGATGAAGATGGATAATGTGATGGATGGGAGGAATAGGATGTAGGAGGGAAAAAGAAGAATATGGCTGAGGGATTATCTGTAAGGAAGGACGGGACAGAGACATAGGTGTAAGAAGACGTAGTTTTGTGATTGCTTCTGGGTTTTGGTTGTTGATGAGTGAGCTACTGGTGTGCGTGTTTTCGTGTTAACCAAAAGTTTTGTTTAAGTGACGTTGCTTCTTCTTTGTTTATAAATTAGATTATGTTTAGTTACAAGTGAGCTTTTTGTACTGGTTTATATATGATTATCATTTATCTTTCTACGGACTTATATTGGAGGTTTAATGTGCTTTTAATAATTGTATATATACACACACACACACATGTACGCATGCATCATCGTCATAATTTGGCGATTAAACGAATTTGATCGGAGATGATGTCCGGCAACTACTCATCCATCGACAATCAAAACGTCTCCGGATATGTGCCGGTAATTTTTTCCCCTCATTGTTTGTTTTTGAGCTTCTGGTCGCAGATCCAACATTCTTTCACCATTTTGACTTTGTCTGTGATTGATTTCCATGGCAGATTTATGTTGTTGCAGGCGGTCAGCGATCGGCATTCCCACGTTGCTGTAAAGTTTACCGGTTGGTTAATTATTATTAGTTATAATTATATTTAGTTGATTAATTTATAGTTTGATTGTGTGGTGATGTTTGTCTAGATTCCAGTCTGCAGACTTTTACGCCAGCCAGAGCTCACGGGAAGATATATGCTGCCTCTGGACCCCCTCGTGATGCTGATGGTATTTTTTTTTAATTATTTGTTGAGTTTATACTATGGTGATGCTATTAAGATATATTTTGGGCGAATCTGAGCTGTACTGCAAATTGGGAAAGTATGACTGTTTCTGAATTGGTTCTTGTGAACTCTGCCATAGCTATATTAGGATGCCCCAAACATTCAGAATTAGATAAACATGCACCGTTTGATGATATAAGATGGTAGAGAAATAGGGCATAGAGATAATTATTGGGTTCTCTTCTGATTGTAGACCACATACTTTTGAATTGTTATGTCGTTATCTACCGATGATTGGACCCTGAGGATATGAAGTTTATACAGGGAGTGGCCTTGGATTGTAGTACATTGCTTGTTGAATCTTGTAAAGAATGATTTGAAATTGGAGAAGACAAGATGCCCACTTCCAAATATATAAATGCATTGATGATATAAACTGAAAAATGTTAGACATAGTGCTCTAAATTTTTTTATAGTTGTATACTCAGCGAGGTTTTCTAAATGAGATTTTCGAGAGTAGGAGGTTCATTTATTGGGGGATTTTCACATGTAGAACTTTACTGGCATGCATATAAGATGTACTGACGACTGTGAAGATTAATATCAGCTATTGCTATTCTACGTCTTCCTTTTAGGGGTCAGAATCAGCTTTTCTAGAATCTGTTTGATCATTTAAAGAAAAGCTAACCACCCTTCGTTGAAAAAATATATGGATGAATTGTTAAAGATACGACCAAGTTCAATGATTTTTCTTTCACTCTTCATATACTTACTAACTGTATTTTTAATGAGTTTTATATTTGATTTTATTATCTTCTATTTGATTTATGGTTTGTAATAAGAAAACTAAAAATCATGCCTTGCTTTGTTCGCTTAGACACATTTAGCAAACCTGTATCTGGTTCTGATGAGCCCCAGCAGAATGGTTGGTTCCAATCCTTCACAATTGCTGCATACAGACCCTACTTTGATGTTGACACGTCTGATGTTCTAGAAAGGATCAGAGATTCACTCTTTCCTTTCAGAGGTAGCTTCTCCGAGAAGACTGCAAGCAGCCCAGATTTGTAAGTCTTGCTGTGTTGCATCGTTTTCTTGCAATTATTTATGTATACTTTCCAAATGTACTTGATTGTTTGTTTTGATTATATTTCCTTTTGCTTTATGGAGCTGGGCATATTAAGTTGATAATGGAATAACAGACATCTTTCTGATGATTACCTATATAAAGGGTCAGTGTAGAGTTTGACCCTTTGTGGATCATTTCAGAGAGGTAATGCTTCAAGTTTATGCCATCTTTACGTAATCGGAAGTTTTGTTATTTAGCTTATTACTTAAGTCTGGGGTTCAGTTTTACCATGGTCCTATATAGTGATCCCTTATGTCTTCTAAAGCAAATGTTCAATGGGGTGTAATTGGAAGATAACAAGATGAATGATGACAACTACTCCACTCCGAACAGTTTATCCACTGTCTTTGTAACCAACTTCATCCGACTTCTACAACTTTAGTGTTCTTCTCATTCTGTTGTCGAGTCGCATTCTTCAGATTTTGTTATCAAATCCATCTTTTTTGTTTCCGTTTACAACCGTTCACTTAGCTTCCAATACATGGTATCTAACATTTTGTCAGATATGGGCCTTTTTGGATATGCACTACCTTGATATTTGTGGCGGCTTCCATTGGTACATTTGTCACATACATAGCACACAAGCTGCAAAAGAAGGAATGGGACTATGACATCAATCTCGTGACCTGGTCTGCTGGTTTGTTCTATGGCTATGTCACATTAATACCGCTTGCGTTGTATATTGTCCTCAAATACTTCTCTGTCCCATCTGGCCTCGTTCAGCTGCTTTGTCTGTATGGCTACTCCCTGTTTATCTTCATTCATGCTCTGGTAAGCTTAATATTATATTTTCTTTTTAATCCATAGTTCTTATTTGACCCCTGCAATTTGATTTACCTCTCAGTAATTATGTCCCTGTAGGCTTTTGTATTTTTTAGAGTGTTATACTTATTCTGCACCATTGTAATGGTTAGTAGGTTACACGTATTGCTAGAAATTTCCGTATTAACTTTGTCAACGGGCAAGCTCTGTGCAATACTGTGATTATATATCCTCGTGCTTTAGTTCCGTCAATGACTGGATATATATTAAGTTCTCCGTTAGAAGTTTGAATCTGAACTACTAAATTCAATACTATTGCTGAAGCTTTTAAGGAACATCTGATAGAAGAGTCAATAATATTAGGTTAAGTCTGAACTATTATTTGATAAAGTTTAAACCGTGTTTGCTGTTTCATAATAATTTAGTTGTAACTTGTAAGGCTTGTTTGCAAATGCTACCCTGGGAGTTTTTTTTATCTAATTACTAAAACCCAATTATATTTAAACAATAAGCACCCCTGATTGAGGTTGAAATTTGTAAAATAGAAAAAAATATCACACCACAGTATTTGTATCTGTAATTAGATTAGTTTAATCCGGAGGTTTCCATCAAGATTTAATCAGGCGGCACACGATGCTTTTCTGTTTGCTTGCAGTGTTTGTCGGTTATCCCTCAGGAGATTTTCCGTGGGTCATTGCCGGTGTAGCTGGTTTCGTGTCCGCCTCGTTTGTGGCCCTAAACCTCAGAATTCACATCAAGTCTGCCGGAGAAAGTTGGTTCCTTATCGTGACTGCTCTCTTCTTGTTGCAGCTTGCTCTTGCTTTGGCCCTTAAATTCTATTTGTTCACCGTGACCATGTAAAAAACAAGAAACCACAACAAATCAGGTCAAGCATAGCCTTTTTAGTGGGAAGAAAATTAGAAAACAAAAGCATGAACTATGTGAAATTGTGCATACAAACTAAGTTCAGCCTTATTATTGTATTAATTCATTTTCTGGCAGTTTTGTATGTGGCCTACATGATGTGTGGATGAAAGATAAGTCACGAGTACCGAATATATACAGCTTCGATTATGAGTGTGTACAAAACTGATGTGGAGCAATAAATAAAATAACACACAAAGAGACATTCCAAACTCTTGCAAATTCAACTTTTTTGTTCTTTTTCTATGATTTTACACTATTAAGAGACTATTTTGTTATACATTTTAAATACAAATGTTTAGCATGATAACTATATATTAAAAGTAATATTCCATAAAAAAAAACTTTTGCAATGTAACATATAATTTGATTATAAATTAATTACATACTTAACTAATTAATAGACTAATGATCATGTATTCAATGTTTATTCAAAAACAGTGCAAACTTATTTATTACAAATGTGCATATTTGAATTTTGGAATCTCCAAATTCATATAGGTGTGGAATATATGTATAGAGCAATTGATATGACAATTTCCATACACATGACACACGGACAATCATAAAGATACAAAAAATATAATCATTTGCTCTTTGTTTTGCCCTAAACTCGGCCCGTTGCTTACAAAACTAATTAGCTTCAACTATAAATTGCCAATCAAATGCACAAAATAAATTAAAAAAAAAAAAAATAATAACACTTTTGTTAATTAATAAAAAACTTAATAAATTGACTTCAACTTGATTTCTTATGGATTGATGTCAAATTATTTGAATGTAAATTTATAAATGCCATAAAATATGGGTAACTATGTTTTAAAATTTTCACAATTTTAAAATATAATTATAGACCGGACTAGGGCCGGCTGTGCGTGCACAGCCGAGTTCAATCTAGTATAATCTATATAATCCTATTTTGTATTATTATCCCCCTATATATTAATACAGAATGCGCTGAGCCTACGTGGCTGCTTCTGGTGCTTCGGAATCCTATGTGGCAAAATTACATGCTTCGTTATTAGGCTTGGGTAAAGTTTAATTTAATTCCAAACAAAAAATAATTAGGTACGGATTACCATAAATATGTTGATTATTTATGGTCATGTTACATGTATTAATTGTATTTTAATATCATTCCTTATTATAACTATTGAACTGTATATATATTTTAAAAGTTAATAACTTTTGTATTTTTTATCAGTTTTACATATGTAATATATCAAATTAATCTTCTTTTGATGAGCTTCGATTTAACATACATATTGTATGTATAAAAAAAATAATTTATATTTATCTTTATAACAATAATAAAATTATTTTTAATATTAATTAGAAAAATAAAATTATTTATTAACTAATATATTTATATTTCAAGTAGTTATATGATATAAGTTATAAAAATTAATATAATATAACACATGTATGTCATAAGTAACACATATCATTCTAAAAGATATAGTAATATATTTTTTTTGTAAAAAGTAAACTAAATTTAATATAGTTTTCTCATTAATTTTAAAATTTAAGAATAATTCTTTAACAAGCACCGTGTAATACACGGGTGTTGTACTAGTTTATAAATAATCTATATAAACGTTCATGATACAAGTAATATTCATATGTATTATAAAATTACGCATATTTATTAGAAAATTTGGTCACAAATCAACATGATTCATTTAAATACTTTTCCTTTTAAGCAAAAGAAATCACCTATATCGCCACACAGAAAGTCTATGGAGTCATCCATACATTCATGTATTGACACGTGTTCAAGGTGAATTATTGCAGGACACGTGTCAATACATCATTTGTAGAAAACTATGGATGACACCGTAAGCCGAGTCATTCGATAGGTCCATAGCAAAAGTGGATTGCTATTTACCGCCCCCTCTATTACTAGT